TAAAACTTATATAGTTAACAAAGTATCTACTTAAATAGATTAAATAGGTTTAGACCTGGACAGACCCGCGGATAACCCATATAGGTCGACCCGTGGGTCAGCCCATGGGCGGGTTATGGGTCAGACCTCTTAACCTATAGGTGGGTCAAGATTTTTTTGACCTATCCTACGGGTTAATAGGTTAACCTATTTAACCTATTTAGGTAGATACTTTGTTAACTATATAATTTTTATAAATTATATTATTCTTAGCTATATTTTTAGATATTATATTTATTTTAGTTAAATAATTTTTTATAGTAATTAGGAGAATAATTCTTAAAAAGTAATTCTAGAGAATATTATTTTAAATATTAATCGATTTTAATTTTAAAGCTTATAATTATTAAATACTTGTGGGCGTTTATAAACCTTACTAGAAATCCGTAGGAGGCTATAATTATCTTTATAATCACTCTTTAACTTTTTTTACTATAGTTAATAAGATATATTAACTATAATTATTAGATCTATAGTATCCTCCTTTTTATTATCACTAATTAGTATAATCTTTTTATAAGTCCTTTAGGTCTCTTTTTCCTTTTATATAATTTCTAACTTATCTTACTCCTAAAACTCTTAAATAAATATAAGCTGTTTTTTTTTAATTTTAAATTTAGTAACGTATATAAATATTATTAGATCTTATATAATAGATATATTTAGTGCCTCTTGTTAATAATAGTAAATATTATATATAGAATTAAATAATCGCTTAATACTAGCGTTAGTAGCTAGGATTAAGAGAAGATTATAAACGAGGCTTATAAATATAGGAAATTTATACTAATAATCCTTCTAGAACTAATAAAATAGGATTAGGATAGTATCTAGATAAAGGGCGGATTATAATAATTAGTATAATATTTAGATAGATTAGAACTAATACCTTTATTAAAACCAGGGTTCTAAGGTAGGCCTTAAAACCCTAGTTCTAATAAAGGTAGAAAGATAAAAACTTAATAGATTAGAACTAGGGTTTTAAGCGATTATTTAGAACCCTAGTTTTAATAGAGGTATATATAGAAACTTACCTCTTTTAATATATTATATTATCTTAAACTAAGAGCTTAAGATAGAAGAATCAGCTATTAAAAATATATTAAGCTCGTTAGTTTAATAGGACTATTTTATTTTAAATAGTAATTAAGAGCTTAGAATATTACTAGCTTAGTAGCTTAGAAGCCAATTTTTAAGACTTCGTTAATATTAGATACTATAATCTATTTAAGGGTAATCCTAGTTTTTAATTTAAAAAATTTAACCTTATACTAAAGGGCTAAGATAGTGCTAATTATATAGATATTACTAAGCTTTTTATTATTTATTATAGAGTAATACTTATAGAGTTTATTTTTAGCTAATTTAAAGGCTTAATATATCTATTATTTCTATCTAACCTTTTTTCTACTAAACTATTTAATTAATCTTTTAAGATAATTAAATAGCTTATTATAGATAGTAAAAATAGTATAAATAATAATATCCTTTATTTTTAAAAGGACTATAATAAATTAGAAAAATAGCTAGATAATATTAAGAAAGTAGTTAATCTAGCGTTATTTATCTATATCGATTTTAAGATAAGGATAATTATATTTAGAGTAAAATTAATTAAAGACTAGTTATAACTACTTTATACGCTAGAGTATTAAAAAGGTTAAATTCTATCTAGTTCGGATATCTTAAATTAGAACTAATTATAGATGGTCGGGCTAGAGACTAAGAAAGGACTCCTAATATTAAGGGCTTATATTAATAAAGATTATAAGGTTTCTGATCTAAAATATAAAATAGGTTAGTATTTTAACTAATAAATAAGGAGTATAGATATATACCTTTATAAGAGTTATTATAATATCTTATTTTTATATTTTTCGATAGATATATTAGATATATTCCTCGGACTAAATAGTCTTAGTTATCTTATTCTAAGGGTTCGCTTTTATCTAGCTAAATAGTTACTTTAAACTTAACTAAATTATATATATAATATATAGAATCTAAATAATTATTATCTTAGAGTTAATATCTAATAATTAAATAGAATCTTAGATACTTAAAATAAGGATAGAGTTATTTAATATATTATTAGTCGTTACTATAAATACTTAGTCTTCAATCTAATATTTCTAGAGGATATTAAGGAGGGTTATACTAAGATTCTATCTAGAGTATATACTAGAAATAGGTTCGAAGCTAAGTAAAACCTCTTAATAATTCTAGTCTATATTAATAAAATAGCTAAAGATAGCTATAAATACTTATTAAAATAGTAATATCTAATAGTTAAGACTAATAGAGAGTTTAGCCTTAGATAGAAGCTTCTAAAATAAATCTTTTTATTAATCTTAGATTATTCTTTAGATTCGACGCTATATAATTTAATAGGAAAGGAAATTAGGGATAAATAATAATAATTAGGTTATTTAAAAAAAGCTTAGAATTTAGGATATTTAATAGTTTAAAAAAGAAACTATAAAATAATTATTATAATAATTAACTATTATTTCTATAGCTCTTAAATAATTAGCTAGGCTATTCGAGAGGAGTTCTTAGCCTAAGAAAGATTAGCCTATAAATTAAATAATAGCTATATAATATACTATATATTCTATAAGATATTAGATTATTAAATATTTAATAGTACTTTAGCCTTTCTAGTATATATTCTGATTCTAGTAACGTTAGAGACTTATTATCCTATTCTTAGTATAGACTAGATAGTCTATAATCTTACTATATTATTTATATAGGAGCTTTAGCTCTCCTATTACTAAATATATAACTTAATTAAAATATAACTATATATTAGTCTATCGTAGACCCTCCTAGTTTATTTTCTTTATAGTATTATAAGAACCACTAATTTAGGTATTAAGCTACTAGTTTAAAAACTCTACTTTATTTATACTATCAAAAATTACCTAAGTCTTTTTCCGATCGTTAGATCGTTTTAATATTAGTAATATAATAGAAGGGAGGCTTTATTTAGTTTATTAGCTTTCTAGTAGTTCTAAGAGGATATCGAGAAATTAATTAAAATAGAAAATAGATAACTTAAACCCCTTACTCTTAATAAAAAAGGGAGGGTACAAAGTAGATAACTAAGATATAGAAAAGATATAGTAATAATATATTAAAATAAAGGACTCGAGATATAGAAAAATAATCTAAGGTAAATTATTATAGATTTAGGGGAATATATAGGTCTAATACTTATTTCTTATTAATAGATAGGATTCAGTACTATTTTAGTACTAAATTTTATAACTAATCAGAAGATACTCTATTAATATATACGAAGCTTATTAGATAATAAGAAATAGATTAATAAGTTAATCTATAGATTAACCTATTAATCTAAATAATTAGGTAAGAGCAATACCCTAAGACTTTTATTTTTATCCCCTAAAAATTTCAACCTAACTAGCTAATCTTTTTATACTAATATATTAGAACTAAGGCTATAAATAAACACATAGATAGATTAAAACTAAGGTTTTAAGTAATTACGTAGATAGATTAAAACCCTAGTTCTAATAGAGATAGAAAGACTACTATAAAAAGGTATATATTTTATTATATCTAGTAAAAGGGGGACTATATAACCCTTTTACAACGAGAGACTTAAGATATAGAAAAATAATCTAAGGTAAATCATCGTAGATTCAAGGGAATATATAGGTCTAATACTTATTTTTTATTAATAAATAGAATTCAGCACTATCCTAGTACTAAATTTTATAACTAATCAGAATAGGCTCTACTAATATATACGAAGTTTATTAGATAGTAAAAAATAGATTAATAGGTTAATCTATAGGTTAATCTATTAATCTAAATAATTAGATAAGAGTAATACCCTAAGATTTTTCTTTTTATCCCTAAAAAATTTCAATCTAACTAGCCAATATTATTATTTTATATAAATTCAGAAAAAATATTTAAAATAATTCTTTTATATAAATAAGACTATAATATACTTATATATTAATAAAGAAATATTAAATATTAGATTTATATCTATTTTATTATTTCTAATATATATAGTTTATTTATATAAAAAGTAGAAGTACTACTATAGATTTTAAATATATATTTTTAGGTTTAATATAAGAAATAGTTAACTAATATCTTCTTTCGCCTATATCTATCTATTATAAAATATAATTCTTACCTTAAAGTATTAAATTAATAAATTAATATATTATATATTCTAAATATATTATTACTATATAATATTCTTTTTATAAAGAGTTAGAATTATAAATTATATTAGAACAAAAATAGTATTTAATAATAGTATATTATTAAAAAAAAATAAGCAAATTATCTATCCTAATTAAGAAATTTATACTAAAATAGATCAAAAATAGATTAACCCGTTAACCCACAAGTTAACCTATAGATAGGTTAGGATTTTATTGACCCGACCCATAGGTCGTGGGTTTGGGTCATGGGTCAAGATCTTTGACCCATGGGACGGGTCTGTCCATGTCTAGGGTGAATCAGGTAATATCACATGATCCTGAAGGAAGTTAGAACTTGTTGCTTAATCTACCTTATAGTGGAATAATCACGATATATAACAGAGACCTAGTTGTTTATATTATCGATAATATATAGAGTTATGAAGATATTATATAATAAATTAATACTCTTGTATCTAGTTAATAAGACAAGATTTAGTCTTAATAGCAATAAAGATATATTACTTTCCCTTACTCCTTCCCTTTGTGTCCCTGGATCAGGTCCATGGAGCTTGCTCGGTCTAACCATGGGCCTGGTCGGCGCTTGAATCTATCTACTGGGTGATAGATAGAACAACCAAGATAGAAAGGTAGTTTATAAATTACAAGTGGGTTCAAGTAAAGTAGTATATACAGAGAACAAACTATAATACAATCCGAATCTCCCTCTCCCAGCCATCATTAATAACAAGCACAGAGAGAAAGAAATCATGTAGGCCAATTCCCCTTCCACCGCACAAAATGCTCCTCATCATCATCAATCACCACAACCATCCACACGCCTACCTGTCCGTTATGCGCCACCAGCGGCGTACAATGGATCCAGCGGTTGCGGCCCTCGACATTGAACCGCGTCACCCACTTGATGCGCGCCGTCACGCTGCGCCCGGCCATCAGCGCGTGCAGGATATGGTCGCGCTTGGGACCGACGTCGCCGATGCGGCTGATGAAGGAGGACTGGAGCATGCCGGGGATTTGGAGCGAAGGGGAGGTGAAGAGGATGCGGAGGGAGGGGTAGGGGCGGACGAGTAGATACTAAACCGCATGGGAGAAATAAGATTAGCATCAGCAAGGTCGAATCGAGGTTGTATGCACTCAAGGTAGGTCAACGTACGTGTTTGTATACCCCCGTGAGCGAGTTGGTGGGATTCCCCAGATTCATCGCCTTCATCTGCGCGTCCGGGTCCTTTTCCTCGTCCTCGTGGTCTGGCAGCCACAGCCGCCGGTTCGTCTCGTGATCGATGATCGGCTGGAAGAGGTTGCCGCCGTTTTCGTGGACGTTCTGGAGCTCGCGCGGACTGAGCAGCTCGCCAAGTTCCTGGAACTCGCTCTTTTTGTCGTTGGGTTGTTTCTTTGCCGAGGTTTCCGAGGGTGGTGATTGTTCGTGCTCCTTTTGGACACCTTTTTGTGCCTGTAGATGCTGCAGCGAGTCCATCTGCGCGCCTTCCATTGCTAGTCCGGAGACGTCGATCTGCGCGCCGATGAAGTAGCGTACTTTGCCTTGGCTGTCGCAGAGGGGTGCGCATTGGAGGAGGTTCATGAAGGGGGAGCCGTCGCGGCGGCTATTTTGCCTTAGTTAGCTTCTCTTTCTTTTGAACTCGGCATAGGACAATTGACTCGTAGCAAACTCACTAGTTGAGGAAGAGCTCCGAGTGGTGCCGCCCTGCTTGGATGGCCTCTCGAATGCGCCGCGTACTATTAGGGTTGGTCTTGGGACCTTGCAAGAACCGACAGTTTCGTCCGAGGACGTAGTCCATGCCGTATTGCGTGGTACGGTGGAATTCTGGAAGTCATCAGTAAATGCACTTCAATGCAAATAAGTAGAAACCCACCTCCAGAAGCAAAGATAATAGGATTATCAGGCCGCGACGGATCCGTCAAACAAAACACCTCTGCTAGCGCATCGGCCGTTCCCTGGAATTTATCCGGCAGAGTCCCGCGCACGCGCTCCTCGACAACTTTGCTGGTGATATTGATACAGGTAGAGGTGATAAAGGCCGGCAATTCCTCCGCGGTGAGCGCATCCAATGTCGATTGCACCCGGTCTTCCAGCGCAGTATTGAGAGTCGGGCCAATGGGTTGCTCTGCCATCTCAATTCCAGCTGTCGGCACATCGACGGAGAGCCGCACGAGCGCGTTGGCGTACTGGATGGCTTTGAGAGCCTTGCGTGCATTCAGATAGTATGTCAAGGTGGCAATAGATCGGGGCCGCTCCTGCGCCAGAAAGTCGCGAAAGCTCGCCAGATAGCGCGGCCGCGTGAGGATGCTCAGCATATGCTCGGATGAGAACATGAGATCGGCCTGGCGCTCGAGACTGTGCAGCGGTGCGCCGTCGCCTTCGTACGGCGCGACGAGATCGAACGAGTGCCCGTTGACATTCTCCTCGTTCAGAGGGTCGAATTGCTCGGAGCCGTCGAAGGGGTTGGTTTCCTGGAGAACAGGCAATTCGTTGATCATGTAGTTGCGGCGCAGCTCCCGCAGCGATGGCGCTGAACGCAGCCCGGGAGTGGGAGATCGCGCGCTATTACAATTAGCCATTGGTTGCTTTTGTGATTGCGCTTGCACTTCCAATTGCTTTCAATTGTCTTACCCTTCATCGCCTAGATCATGCGAGTTAAACGACTGCTGCCCTGAGTGCCTGGACTGCGCGTCGAATTCCGACTCGGAATCGAGAACAATCGTGGGTGTAGTGGGCGTGTAGGAGAGCACCGACGGAGGCTTCTGCTGCGGTGCCTCCGGGCCATCTCTGTCGCCCGGCGGTTTTGGTGATCGCCTGTCCAGCATGTCGGGGAATTCCATGGCGACAGGCGACTTGTGAGGCCGATTGTCAGGAATATTGGGCATGTCCATTGCGACGACACACACGCTCGTTCAGAGGCACACTAAGATAACGGAGGAATTATCGCGATGGACGATCCCTCCACGCGCTGGACCATCGCGCACTATAAATATTTCTCTGTCCAAGAAAAAAAAAATCGGAGTAAATCCATGCCTGGGCTCGCACACGGGCGCACGATCATCATCGCGAGTGCCATCCACGGTTCTCAAGGCAAGCTAGACTCAGGATTTGTGTTCTATGTCTTGTAGCTGGCTGGATGCGATGAGCGGCATGGTAAAGATCAGCCGTGCAATTTCCGTGTCGTGGTACGATCGGATCGATCGGGCGATCGTGAACTTCGCAGGAACCCGCAAAACGATCAGGTCCCCTCGACGGTTGATGATGCAATGGGCACGCGGTGGTGGACCTCTGGATTTCCAGGCCCAAAATTGTGTGGCCTCGGTCTAGTTCCAGTAAAAGGAATTGTCATCATCGTGATGTGCGCTAAAGGATAGTCCTTTAGGCCGTGCGGGAGAAGCATGTCAAGCGCTAGTGCGGATCATTCTGCGTCGGTTGGATCCGAATTGACTGGCCTCGGTATTGATTTTCTTGTTATGGTGCCATTGACACAATTGGAATTGTCAATATAAGATTCTTGGTCTATGGAAGAGAACCTCTATGGAAGAAGAGCCCAAGTGAAAAACAGCCCGGCCACCCAGGGGGATCTACACGGGCAGAGACGGTCGCTTTATAGCCACACTATTGCCTCTAGCGCTTAGCTCAATTTCAACAGGGTCGGGCTTTGAAGATCCCCTCGAAGGAAGATTACCCTTGTCCTTCCTGTTGAAGTTTAGGGCTTTTCAGTGCCCGCAAAGAGGTGATTCTCTCGTGTGGCACATACCACACTCCGCAGGTCCTCCTGTTATCGGGCATCGGGTCTGCCATGGGGCTGATTGAACACGTCGTGGATGCACCCGAAGTTGGACGCAACTTCCACGACCACCTCTGCGTACCACTGGTCTGGAAGCTGACGAACCGAGAGCACAATCTACCGATTCCCCTTCTCGCCAGCTCGTCAGCTCTCAGACTCGGATATCCTTGCGAACAGGCTAGTATTTTCTGGTCTCGATTCTGATGTCATGCAACAAGCGCTCGTCAAAGATGGTTGTGATGTCGCCGACTTTTTCAGCCAGTTGTTCATTAACCCGGGCAACTGCTAAACAGAAACATTGAATATCTACGCGCCAGCCGATGCTGTCTTTAGCGGAATGCAATTCCCTCCTGATGGTTCCCATATATATCTGGTTCGGTCTTGGGAATGCTCCCCACATCCAGGGGAAGTATTTCCCTGACATCGAAAGATCCGCTTGCGGCTCCGCGCATCGATCCGAACTACTATGCTACTGAGCTTGACCGCACTGCCATCCGTGCTGGTGTGAGACATGTCCCGCAAGTCTATCAAGAGACAGAGGCCCTCAAGGATGTCATCGAGGCCGAGACTCCTCCAGAGGGTTATCCTCCCTTGCGGACGGATTCCTCCGATGAAGAAATCGATGCCCGAGTCCGGCGTGGTAATACCTTCTTTCATCCCGGTGGTAGCTGTGCCATGGACAAGGCGGTTGACAGTGTTTGGCGGCTGTATGGTGTTAAAGGACTTCGGGTGGTTGATGCCAGTGTACTTCCCACTCCAATTGCTGCGCATTATCAGATTTGTACTTATACATTGGCGGAGAGGGCTGCGGATTTCATTAAAGCCATAGCTAGTTGAAATTTCTCCGTGGCCTCTCATCCAATATTAAATATAGATTCAAATTTTAGATGGTCCCATTTTATGTCTTCCGATCTGTCTCATTTTCATAGTTCTGAAACGGGATATATAGTTCGACACCAAAGCAGCACTTTACCCTTTTCCTGGATTTTATTTTCCTCTGTGACATTCAGAAAAAATATTAAGAACACCAACCCTTTTCTCTTTTTATTTTAATAATAAGCAACTTACTTCTATTGGGATATTCACATGGTGAATATGTCACTATGAAGTGAAATCATTCCGCACAACAACATCAGCATTTACCCCCAGATCTCTGTCATTCCTCTGAAAGACCCATTTTTCATTCCACTTGCCTCCCCAGGTAATCCACGATGATCATCTTGGGATCTTCAAACGCTGGCCACGTGACGGCCTGGACTGCGGATCGCGGGGAAATCACCAGGGAACTTTTCTTCAGTCAAACCAGACGCTTTCTGACACCCCAAGTGCCATTTCATCTCTCGACTGCCCTCGATGCTGCCGCCCTCCAAATTTCCCCCATGGATAAGCTGCCGGTAGAGATCCTGTCCAAAATCATCGACCGTAAGCGCCGACCCCTCCTCGAACTCCCCCGCATCCGTGGCCTAGCTGATTAGGTCGCGAGAACCCAGTGCTCTCCCCGCAGGAGAAGGTGCAGCTGCAGTCCGTCTCGAAGAAACTCTTTGATCTCGCCCGTGACAACAACCTATGGAAAGTCCACTGCTATGAGCAGTCATGGGCTGCCCTGCAGGCCTCTCGTTCTGCCGACCGGATGTCGGAAAGCCTGGTTGCGAGCTCCCCCACGTCTTTGAGTGCTCTGGGGCAAAGTACCCTGCGTGATCTTATCCAGCCGCCTGCTCTGTGTGTGAGCGAGGTTGGTTCCGACGAGACCCGGGATTTGTCCCCCAGTGAGAGAGCACGAGCGGCAGCCGAGTGGGATTCCTCAGCTGAGGGGGAACATGTGGACTGGTATTCAGAATATATTGCTCGGCATGGGCCCATCTCGCTTACATGGACCCAGCAACCCTCGGTCCGGACTGGCGAGGGCGGACGGCGCCAGTTCCACGAGGTCAAAGGAATGGGGTTGCTGAAGGACTGGAGTTCTGCGAGACAGAACAAGATTGTTGCCCCGCTTGAAGATGGGAGTGTCTGTATCTGGGATTTAAACCACTCTCACTGCGCTGGCTCGCCATCCTCCAAAGGCAGGATCCTTGGGGTCAGTGAGCCGGGTATCCTCATGAAGAACCTCTCTGGGCGCAGAGAGCACTCCTCGTCAAAATCCGCGCTTGATTTCATTAATCTGGGAGAGGGAGTAAGCGTGGACTCCTTGCGGCAGCGAGCCTACCTGGCTATCGGAAACGTCCTCAATGAAGTGGATCTGGAAACATTAAAGGTCGTTTCGCAGCAGCGGTATCCTTGGTCGATCTTTGCGCTTTCGCAAGAGACTGATTACTCTGTGCCTTTGACCCTCGCTACAACACTGAGTCTGCAGATTTATGACGCCCGATTGTCTGCGACTGAGGAGGAAGAAGCCATCAGCTCGCGGTGCGAGAAGGTTAACAATGGATTTGCCCCCGAGTCCGATATATTTACCCATCCCGATTCGCCATTGCTGCGATTCCAACCCAATGGACAGCCACCTCATCGCATCCGCAGCCCGGATCCTTCAGAGAAGGGGGCTAACTATGCTCCGCTTTTCCAACCTGGTCCTCTCTCCATTCTACACCCACCGGCTCCCCATGTGAACACTATTCTTCTTGCGGGTCGCTTTCCCAGCATTCTGTGCTATGACCGTCGCTTCTTTCCTCGGCTGCAAAATACTGTCCACTCCGGTGGTCGGCTCTGTGGTCTAGCTTCTGTCCCAGCACCACGGTTTCCCGTGTTCTCGGACTCGACATACCCAGAGTCCCACTCCGTCGTCGCGTGCGGCGAATATAATGGGAGAGGTTCACTGGAACTGTACAGCCTCAAGTCGGCATCACAGGAGAGGGTCGGCAACCCATCGAATCTGTCCTCTCACCTGACACCAGAATACAAAAACCGGCAGAGTGCGGCCAGCTCCAAGCTGCTCTCGGTGGGATCCCATGGCAACCGGCTTGTCTACTCCGACTCCGAGGGAAATATTAAATGGATGGAACGGGATGGAGGCTCCGAGGTTCGTCGCTGGAACGTCAACACCTCCCAACCACAGATTCCCTTTTCGCGCTACGGCCGAGAGTCAACTCCTGGGCCGTCTGGTGACGATCAAGAGCCTCGTGGGCTCTGGCCGGGATCTCAGCCCCAGAACAACAACAGTGAGGTGGCACGCAAAATCCTCCCCATCGGTGGGAACTTGACCGGCGACGAACTCCTGGTCTGGACGGGAGAACGCATTGGTCGACTGAAGTTTTCAATCCCAGCCGACCAGGATATGCTGATGGAGGAAGAGGAAGATGATTTATTCATGCACGCCGAGGTTGACGAAGCTACCCGAGATGCAATGCGGCAGAAGCATCGCGACGAGTGGGAGAAAGAACAAAGGTATGGGGACATGATGCGACGAGCCCTCGAGAGACAGGCAGATGAAGTGCGATGGATGGGGAGCCACGGCATGAGCTGATTGACACATCTGCCATTTCTGCCGATCTGCTGCATTAGACACGCTGATGTTTTTTTTTTCTTTTTCACCCTTTGATCTTGTTCGTTCTTTTCGTTCTCTATTTTTCTACTTCTCTATTGTTCATGGGTGGCATAATCGGCGTTGAGGCATGCTTTCTTCACCAGAGCCGACTAATAGAATTGAGTCGGCGTAGACAGTCCATATTATTTATTTATTCATTTTTATGAGCATTTCAGTGAGATTTTAACAATTTGACACGACGGGGTTGGAATGCCGTGGAAAGGCGTGTCAGATCGTCCCGAGACCGAGACTCACCGGCTCCGTTGAGTCGACGGTCGGCCCACTTTCTTCTATATCCATTGGCTCACCGGAGTTATCATCAAAATATAGCCAGGGAGAGAAATCCATATTATAAGGAAATGAGTCGGAAGGAGAATATAAAGGATTGGCGTCTTTCGGTCGGAGTTAGCAGATCCGATAACAACTTATTATGGGCATTTTTACCTAAAACATATATATATTGGTCCGTTTTAGTTAAGCCTTCAGGTTCGCCTTCTAAGCCCTATGTTGAAAGAGCTTAAGGGAGCTATAGGGTCGGGTTGCTTGATTGAACCCTATCCCTTTACTTCGCAGGAGAGAATAGCTAGTGCCTTATCGATTATCTTCTCTCTTTCCCGTTAGCTAAGGCTTGCGAATATCTTAAGGTAAATAGCAAATAATTACCTAAACTAAAGTAGTCAGTATATAGGCTTTGAGGGGTTATGTTTTATCTATATTAGGAGAGGTTACATAGCGGCGGTATATATAGCTCTGGTCTAGAGATAGCTACCAATCGGAAAGCGATAAGCTTTATTTTTAGGACTTTAGCGGTGAATATATACCACGATATCGCAAGAGAGTAAAACTAACCACGTAGATATTGTGACGGGGGAGAGAAGCCGCTAAAGAGATATAAGGAGGTTCGTTATATAGCCGACCGGTCTAAGCTTTATCCGATAATAATATAAGCTAATCCTAAAATAAATATTTATTTCTAGGAGCTATTACTACTATTCCTAGGACACTTATAGCTCCTAGGAATGACAAAAAGTGTCGTATGTCATCTCCAAGACAACATTATCAATGGCCAAAGGCTGAGGACGGTTTTTCTCTTTTTGCAGAGCGTAGTTCTTACAGAAGTTGGATGGTCTTGACGCCAGGAACCTGGAGACAACAGCAACAATGTTGCCAGACGGGAAGTTTGACCTACACTCGCCGAGCCCAAGAGCAACCAAGTAAGTTGTCCTTGGCATTCACCTTGGAAGGGAACGGCGTTGACGATTGCAAAGATACATGCCACCCACCACGCCCGATCAAAGCCTTCCCGCGAGTCAGCGTCGTAATGGCTCGACTCATCGTGGCAGGCGAAGATCACGGTCTCCGACCATTCATCGTCTGGCTGAACGATGGCTACCGCATGCATAATGGAATCACCTCACAGAAACTCCCGAACCGCGCCGGATCGCGGCCAATCGACCACTCGGTAACCACCTTCAACCATGTCTGACTGCCCAGCTCCGCGCTCCTTGGCTCCCTTGAGAAACCTCGGAACATGGAAGACCACTTCCTGTCCGTTATTGGGCGCGTGACTGTTGGTACTCTAGGCCTATCATCCGTCGTGATCCCCGTCCTGAAGCGATCGGTATATGTGGCAGGGAAGTATAGTATACGACGACACGTCCAGGGTAACGATGGCAAGCCAACGCCAATCATCTCCTTCTGGACGCAGCAACGGCTCATTCTGCATACCCTGGCACAGATCGCAGTGTTCGAGCCATACACCAAGAAGTGCATTCGACAATTCATGGAACCGTGCACAAAATCAACCGTGCGACACGGAGTCGCGGCGACATTGAAAGCGGTTCTGAATTCCGCGACGCAAAGTAGTCTCTACAGCCTGGCTGAGCGGTGCGGAGCTCAAGGGCTCTTTGAGTATAACCACATTATCCAAGGCCAGCTCGAAACGCGCGGCATGTCTATCGCGGAGGGGGATGTGTTGGCCTTATGTATCAGTAAGGATTCCCCATTCTCGGTATTTGGCTGGTTTTTTCTCACAACCTCCCAGGACTGGCCTCGGAACTGCTTCTGGGTCGATACAGCTTACCCGCTGCTCGCGACCCTTCTGCCCTGCTTGCGCACCACGAACAGGGGCTCTTTGACGAAAGTCACAACATCATCAAGAACATGACAAAGGGCCACCGGAGCGTGGAATATAACCAACGCCATTCTTCCCCGTTGCCAGCCGCTTGTCGAGGCTATGGGGCATCGCATGGCGTATGAAGCAGCCGTTGAGGCAGGCGTGAATCCCAACCTACTTGCACTCTACGAAGCAGGAGTTGTGTTGCAAGATTCGAGCTGGTATGTCCAACATGCTGGGTTGACGCGCGAGGCACAATTTGAGAATGATTCTCGTGCGCTCGATGCTTGTCTTCCGCATCTCGACCATATGCTCGACGGTACTGAGGCGAAGGAATATGCGGACTCTCCGCTTCTTTCGCAGGAGGAATGGGATAGGTTTACTGCTTCTTTGGAGACGTTCACATGACCGCCGATTGATGGTGATGAGAGAGATGGGTGGAATGAAGAAGCGGTTCGCAGTCGACTGTGAGAAATGCTTGACCAACACTTTGGATTTCTTTTCGGTCGCAATCTGCATCTGAGCTCTCGTCTCAACTCTTGGAATGTCTGTCCGTATATCCTCCGCTCATCGTATATCTCCATGTAAATCCGTGACAGACACGATGTTGCGAGCTCCTGGGAGCTACAACATCAGTCCCCAGGAGATACATAGCTCCGAGGAACAAGAAATGTTGATCCTGGAGACGAGGAAACCTTGGTCACAGGCAAGAACCTCTGCCGTAGTAAGTTGATGTACCTCACCCGGAGTAAATAGACAAAATTGTCGGAATAGGTGGATTCGGTGCTCGGATCGAAGTAATTCCGGTAATAACTGTGCATTTATTAGTCATTATATTACCCCTTAAATTGGTGCATTTGGGGATAGTTTCTACAATTCAGACACTGTTACCTTTTCTGCGTGCTATTGGCTAGTTCAGAATCATCTGATATCCTTGTTTTGACAGATTCTACCGGTCACGTGCGCTGGTTTTCCGCTCAGGATCAGTGATCCGAGATCCATTGGGTCTCGGTGGCCTATCTGTGGGTTGGTGTGCACAGGGTCCATAACATGGATTCCATTCTCCTGCTTAGCTGACGGATTCGTCTTCCGACAACAGACCGTTTAATAGGTCTTTTGGCCTAGTTTGTAACTGGTCTGCCCAGGGACAGGTTATAATAGGACTTGACTTATATTCATATATAATTAGACCTGGACAGACCCGCGGATAACCTATATAGGTCGACCCGTGGGTTAGCCTATGGGTAGATCGTGGGTTAGACCTCTTGATCTATAGATAGATTAAGATTTTTTTGACCTATCCCACGGGTTAATAGGTTAATCTATTTAATCTATTTAGATAGATATTTTATTAACTATAACTTTTATAAATTATATTATTCTTAGCTATATTTTTAGGTATTATATTTATTTTAGTTAAATAATTTTTTATAGTAATTAAAAGAATAATTCTTAAAAAATAATTCTAGAGAATATTATTTTAAATATTAATCGATTTTAATTTTAAAATTTATAATTATTAAGTATTTATAGATATTTACGAACTTTACTAGAAATCTATAGGAGACTATAATTATCTTTATAATTACTTTTTAATTTTTCTTATTATAATTAATAAGATATATTAATTATAATTATTAGATCTATAGTATCCTTTTTTTTATTCTTATTAATTAGTATAATCTTTTTATAAACCTTTTAGATCTTTTTTTCTTTTATATAATTTATAATTTATCTTACTTCTAAAACTCTTAAATAAATATAAGCTACTTCTCTTTAACTTTAAATTTAATAATATATATAAATATTATTAGATTTTATATAATAAATATATTTAATATCTTTTATTAATAATAATAAATATTATATATAGAATTAAATAATCGCTTAATATTAATATTAATAACTAAAATTAAAAAGAGATTATAGATAAAGCTTATAAATATAAGAAATTTATATTAATAATCCTTCTATAATTAATAGAATAAGATTAGGATAGTATCTAGATAAAAAATAGATTATAATAATTAATATAATATTTAGATAGATTAAAAATAATACTCTTATTAAAACTAGGGTTCTAAGATAGGCCTTAAAACCCTAGTTCTAATAAAAATAGAAAGATAGAAATTTAATAGATTAGAACTAGGGTTTTAAGTAATTATTTAGAACCTTAGTTTTAATAAAGATATATATAGAAACTTATCTTTTTTAATATATTATATTATCTTAGATTAAAAGCTTAAGATAAAAGAATCGGCTATTAAAAATATATTAAATTTATTAGTTTAATAAAACTATTTTATTTTAGATAGTAATTAAGAGTTTAGAATATTATTAGCTTAGTAATTTAGAAGCTAATTTTTAAGATTTTATTAATATTAGATATTATAATCTATTTAAAGATAGTCTTAGTCTTTAGTTTAAAAAATTTTAATCTTATACTAAAGGGCTAAAATAATATTAATTATATAGATATTACTAAGCTTTTTATTATCTATTATAAAATAATACTTATAGAGTTTATCTTTAGCTAATTTAAAGATTTAATATATCTATTATTTCTATCTAATCTTTTTTTTACTAAATTATTTAATTAATCTCTTAAAATAATTAAATAATTTATTATAGATAATAAAGATAGTATAAATAGTAATATCCTTTATTTTTAAGAGAACTATAGTAAATTAGAAAAATAGCTAAATAATATTAAGAAGATAGTTAATCTAGTATTATTTATCTATATTAATTTTAAGATAAAGATAATTATATTTAGAGTAAAATCGATTAAAGACTAATTATAACTATTTTATATATTAGAGTATTAAAAAGATTAAATTCTATCTAATTTAAATATCTTAAATTAGAACTAATTAAGGGTAATTAGGCTAGAGACTAAAAAAGGACTTTTAATATTAAAAGCTTATATTAATAAAGATTATAAAGTTTTTAATATAAAATATAAAATAGATTAATATTTAACTAATATATAAGGAGTATAGATATATATCTTTATAAGAGTTATTATAATATCTTATTTTTATATTTTTCGATAGATATATTAAATATATTCCTTAGATTAAATAATCTTAGTTATCTTATTCTAAAGGTTTATTTTTATCTAACTAAATAGTTATTTTAAATTTAACTAAATTATATATATAATATATAGGATCTAAATAATTATTATTTTAGAGTTAATATCTAATAATTAAATAGAATCTTAGATACTTAAAATAAAGATAGAGTTATTTAATATATTATTAATTATTATTATAAATATTTAGTCTTTAATCTAATATTTCTAGAGGATATTAAAAAGGATTATACTAAGATTCTATCTAGAATATATACTAGAAATAGGTTTAAAACTAAATAAAACCTTTTAATAATTCTAGTCTATATTAATAAAATAGCTAGAGATAGCTATAAATATTTATTAAAATAATAATATCTAATAGTTAAAACTAATAAAAAGCTTAATCTTAAATAGAAGCTTCTAAAATAAATCTTTTTATTAATCTTAAATTATTCCCTAGATTTAATACTATATAGTTTAATAAAAAAGGAAACTAAAGATAAATAATAATAATTAGATTATTTAAAAAAAGGCTTAGAATTTAGGATATTTAATAATTTAAAAAAAAGCTATAAAATAATTATTATAGTAATTAATTATTATTTCTATAGTTTTTAGATAATTAGTTAGGCTATTTAAAAGAAGTTCTTAGCCTAAGAAAGATTAATCTATAAATTAAATAATAGTTATATAATATATTATATATTCTATAAGATATTAGATTATTAAATATTTAGTAATATTTTAGCCTTTCTAATATATACTCTAATTTTAATAGCGTTAGAGATCTATTATCCTATTCTTAATATAGACTAGATAGTTTATAATCTTACTATATTATTTATATAGGAGCTTTAGCTCTTTTATTACTAAATATAAAAATCTAATTAAAATATAACTATATATTACTCTATTATAGATTTTTTTAGTTTATTTTTTTATAGTATTATAAAAACCACTAATTTAGATATTAAGCTACTAGTTTGAAAACTCTACTTTATTTATATTATTAAAAATTATCTAGGTCTTTTTCTAATTATTAGATTATTTTAATATTAATAATATAATAAAAGAGAGGCTTTACTTAATTTATTAGCTTTCTAGTAGTTCTAAAAGAGTATTAAGAAGTTAATTAGAATAGAAGATAGATAATTTAAACCCCTTACTCTTAATAAAAAAAAGAGGGTATAAGATAGATAACTAAGATATAGAAGAGATATAGTAATAGTATATTAAAATAAAGGACTTAAGATATAGAAAAATAATCTAAGGTAAATTATCGTAGATTTAGAGGAATATATAGGTCTAATACTTATTTTTTATTAATAGATAGGATTTAGTACTATTCTAGTACTAAATTTTATAACTAATTAGAAGATACTCTACTAATATATATAAAGCTTATTAAATAATAAGAAATAGATTAATAGATTAATCTATAGATTAACCTATTAACCTAAATAATTAGATAAAAGTAATATCCTAAGATTTTTATTTTTATCCCCTAAAAATTTTAATCTAACTAACTAACCTTTTTACGTAGATATATTAGAACTAGGGTTATAAATAAATACGTAAGTAGATTAAAACTAGGGTTTTAAGTAATCGCGTAGATAGATTAAAACCCCGATTCTAATAGAGATAGAAAGACTACTATAAAAAAGTATATATTTTATTATATCTAGTAAAAAGGGGATTATATAACCCTTTTATAATAAGAGACTCGAGATATAGAAAAATAATCTAAGATAAATCATCGTAGATTTAGGGGAATATATAAATCTAATACTTATTTTTTATTAGTAGATAGAATTTAGCACTATCCTAGTACTGAATTTTATAACTAATTAGAATAAGCTCTACTAATATATATAAAGTTTAATAGATAGTAAGAAATAGATTAATAGATTAACCTATAGACTAACCTATTAATCTAAATAATTAGGTAAAAGTAATACCCTAAGATTTTTCGTTTTATCCCTAAAAAATTTTAATCTAATCAGCTAATATTACTATTTTATATAAATCCAGAAAAAATATTTAAAATAATTCTTTTATATAATTAAGACTATAATATACTTATATATTAATAAAGAAATATTAGATATTAGATTTATATCTATTTTATTATTTCTAATATATATAGTTTATTTATATAAAAAGTAGTAGTACTACTATAGACTTTAATATATATTTTTATGTTTAGTATAAGAAAGGGTTAGCTAATATCTTCTTTTATCTATATATACCTACTATATAATATAATTTTTATCTTAAAGTCTTAAATTAATAAATTATATATTCTAAATATATTATTACTATATAATATTCTTTTTATAAATTATAAGAGTTATAATTATAGTTTTTATTAGAACAAAAATAGTATTTAATAATAGTATATTATCCTAATAACTAAAAAGCTTTATAATTAGAATTATATAAAAATTAGGTTAAATTAGGTTCTACTAGGTTTTATTGGGGCCCTAGTACTAGGTCCGGGTTGGGTCCGGGTTAGGTTTTGGGTCGAGATCTTCGACCCAAGTTGGGTTATGCGGAAGTCTAAAGGAGTTCGAGCGAACCGCCCCTAATACCCTTTCTGCGAATCGGAAATCTTTCTGTATTGCTACTTATAAATATAAGATTAGTGATAGCTATAGAAAAGGGCGGGTTATAGTGCGAAGCGAAACAAGCCCTATTATAGAATAGAAATATTTCCTTACCTAGTGTACGGCTTGAATATGTCTCTACCGATATACTAATATAGCGGTGCTGCTTAGTAGTGTTTTTAGAAATGATTTCGGTTGTTTTATAAATACTTCTCGACCCTTCTTCTATTTCTTTTTAATATACTTTATTTCCCTTCTAAAGAATTTCAACGCTATATATATTAGCCTTAATAATATTAGCTTTTACTCTTATCCCCCTTTTACTAAGTCCCCGTTATATATCTTCCCTATCTCCCGTTAGAAGCTATATAAGACTTCTTTTACTCTATAAACTCTTTTATATATAACCCTATCTAGACTACCTTCCTCTAGAACTACGATTACTCTAGTTTCTAATACTAAACTAAATACGTCCCCCGGATTTCGGGCTCCCGTAAAAAGAGATCCTAATTTACGTATAGTTCCTAATAAATTTAATATTAAAATAGAGAGGATGGCTATAGCGGAAAACGGCCTAATCGCGCACGAGGCAGATCTAGATATATATTGCGACTCGGGGCTCGTGAACGGAACTATTACCGATATACCCTAAAGCCAGCGCACATCTTTGGCTATAGGTATATCGAACTACTTATAGAACCGAAATCAGCAAGCCTAACTAACGTTATCTACTAGGGTATCCAGACCGACGCCCGTTGTTAGAGGCTGCTAGTGACTTAGATCCAGCTTATATACTAGTAGAACCAGATTTGCGTTATTTTCGTAGGCGCGACTATTATCTCCTTATTCGGATTATTTCTCTAATATATAATAGGCCCGGCCATTGCTCCAACTGATAGTCTGGATTTTCCTCAAGATAGTACTGCGTCGTTAAGAACCTACAGTGAGAGCGACAAGGATCCTACTCCGCCCGAGATTCGATTTGCTTGCGAGTATATCTCGCTATTACCTTCGCTAGGTTCTCTGGGAAGTCCGAACCCCCAAATCGGGCCTAATCCTGAAGCTTTCATATGTGACGAATCTGTCGTTGACGACGCTGAGACCGGGACCGAAAGCTGCGGAGACTGTGGGGGAGACCCGATTGACGGGTTGACAATCCAAAGGGTCCAGATTCATGGCCCCTCCGTTCGAGAGACTAGCCCGGATAATGATGAAAGAGGCAGACTTACCGAGGAGAGTCAGACGCCTACATCCCCCCGGCTTAGGCCGCGAACTCGTCCGGCTGAACAATTGAAAGTTCCTCTGACTAGCACCCGCTCCCTTCGTCCGCGACTATATATAAGGCCCACTAGATTAGAGCGATTACCTGCCGTTTCTGTGGTCATCCTAACCTATCTAACTAATAGATTAGTAGTAAATACTAAGATAAATCCTCTAAGTAGGGTATAACGTTATAACTATTAGGGAGGTAGAAACAATAGCAATCTTTTTAATAATTAGCTAATATAGGCTATAACGGCTAGATATTCACTGTTATTAGGTATATCTAGTCCTAAGGTAAAAGAACGCCCACAGAAAAGAATAAAGAGAGTAATAGGAAACACCAAAGCTTTGATTAATAATATCGTTAGGAATAGCGTTAACTAGTCCTAAACCCCTTTAGATAATAGTTTTGCTACTACCTTAGATAAAATATAAGAGATCTTTGATCGCGGAGTCCTCTATATCTAGAGCTACGGCCCTCGAAATACTTATTTTATAATATTCCTTCTAGAGGTTTCTTAGCTCCTATCCCTATTATTACTATTAAAGATACCTCTTAATTAGTTATTACTCGTTAACGATAACTCTAAAGATAAATTATTACTATAAATAGTATACGGGAGACTATATAAACGAACTATATCTATAATATATAAAGACGGAGATATATAGTTAACTAGACACTCGACGAAATTATCACTAAACTCGCGATCTTAGGATTATCGTAACGAGGCCTAACGGAAGCCTAGGAGACGCTTACTATAGTCTTCGGACAAGGTGGATTTTCTGCTAAAATTGAGAAGGGACGAGGGACGACCGTGGTCAGAGGTCGCGAGGTTATTTTTAGACTAGTATCTAGGAAGCAGCCCTGGTTCAATCTAAGTATACTAGAGTACGGCAATCAAAAAGGCAAGGCAGAGTATGGTTATAGGAGCTTCAACATAAAATACAGCATACATTCCAGTCTATTCACCAAGAACCTCACTCTTAATATGTAGTAGAGTGTTTCAAGAAATACTTCGGGAGTGGCCTAGCGAGGCGGTTGCACATTGCATGGGTCTGACTGTGGAACCGCTGCGGTGAGAGACTGTTTCTAGAGTTCTGGTTCGGCAGTAGCAGGCGTAGGCGTGCGAGGTCCCGAGATGGATGCCGGCGTGAAACTCGATGCTGGCTGGTGTCGTCGGTGGGCGGCATCGGTCGACGATGTTGCGGCCGATCCCCTCTGCGACGCTCCAAACAAAACACCAACCGATAAAACAGCACCAGGTGATCCCAAAATCTATAAGCTCATCGGACTCGGTGAAGAATTCGGATGGATTTTGCGTCCAACGGGACAGGTTGTTTGTAACGGACTTGGAAAGTGTAATTCTGGCTTTTCTGGCCCTTTTTCTCTTCCTGGATGTCGCAGGCTTTCTTGTTGAAATACCAGTCAGACGCTGTCGAGTACCTTCGGGAATTCGTGTCCAGACAGCTTGGAGATATTGGGTAGTCTAGGATCTCTTAGCCAGTTGCTGTAGTATCTGCCTAGACACCCACATAGGAATCTAGCAAGATCCCATCTATTTGATTGGATCCTTGTGCTTCAGCTTCCTCGCAGGCATGTGAAAGCTTTTGGAGCATAACTTTACTCTCAACGAGGCCCATCTTTGATTTTTGCTTATCATTTGCCTGGAGCAGGTAGTGAGGCACGATAGGGGAAATCAGCGAGAACTGTTCCTCCAACCGAAACTTGTTCGCATGTGACCGGGGCTAGCGACACTTACCAGAGCATGCATGGGAACTCATAGTCATTTGATTGGCGCATTATCTGAGGTCACTTTTCGGCGGCTATTCAGAGGTACTCGCGCCGTATCTGCTGGTGGTGGGTGACGTGCAGATGCCAAGATTACTGGGCGTTTAAGGTGAAGTGATATTATCCAATAAATTTAAAGCATAGTTCAGCTGAGTGGTCAATGCGCGGTTCGCGCGACGCGGGGTGAAAATCTCCAAAGGCTCGTGACGACCAGCGTCAAAAGGAGCCTCGTCCAACACATGAGCGATATATGAAGTTCATCTTTTTAACAGCATACGGCAAGCCCTGACCGACGAAAAGCATCCTATGGAATTCCGCTTTGAAAGGTGCTTATTTTGTGGCCGTGTGCAGATCCAAGATATACCGAGTATTGAGTGAGGATGGTTCTATTCATTCGAAACGCTACGTGTGATAGAGACCGCAGGTGGCTGCAGCGTCACATTCAGGTTGAATTTGGTGTCCCAAAATACTGTAGGCAATAATTTTGCGATCAGGCGAGCCCAGATTGGCCCATCCTTACCATGCACGAGGTTCAGGTGCCAGCGCTCCGGTCCAGTCATGTGCTAGGAGTGCCAGCCGTCAGTGAGGCGATTCCTTGCCTCGGGCGTAGTATCATATTGTGTGGCCCTTTGAACTCCACCGCATTCACGGGTTTTTGTTGCCCGTTGGCCAAAATGTCCACCCATAACTGACCGGTGCGACGATTCGTGCAGTGACCACTCTTTTCTGGCCCTTCATTGCTAACTCCCACAGGTCACTAGCACAGTTCCGAAGGACCAGAGCACCTGTGTTTTGGAACAGAGGCATGAATGACCTGCAGATGCCAAGATGCTATTGTTTCAACACACAGTTAGAGTTGGCTTTCCCAGCGGTTACCTTAGCGGATCGCTGCCTCATTATTTAATAAATCTATATAAAGAAAGCCGCAAATAAGGAGAGGGATAAGGTGTTTCGTACTCGCCAAGCTACTTACTAGGCGCGCGCTTCTATCATTCCTTCCCTTGGCATGGATCCTTTTCACATATTTAAATGTGCCTGTCTCGCGCAAAGCTAGAAGTACTTGTTTCATTCAAACAAGCAACACTCAAATACCATCCAGTCTCATCTACAAAGTATCTTAACTTTCTATTCCTCCAACTACCCTCTTCGAAATGTGTGACTACCGGGTCAGGGTGCACAACTGTGGCCACTACGATAAGATGCTGAGAACGGCATGTGGACCCGCCAAAAGAACAAAGACTGTGTGTAAGCCTGGAAGGCTCGAAGATGCTTCAACCAGCGGCTTAGCTTGGTGTGGAATCCACGGATGCGATAAAAAACCCGGCTTAAGACGGGAGGGGCCAGGTAAGATATTTATTCTGTAACATCACTTGATCTTGTGGCTACTCGCTAATCAAGTATGAAGGTTCTAGGATGAATGGTGATTTTGACGAGGACGATGTGGAATGGGATTATGTCTGAATATGGCATCCGAAATCGTCAATTTGTTGGCTGGGGGGATACTCAATGTGGACATATCTTTCATCATCATGCGACCATTCTAAGCAAACTTGACGAATTGAAATCAAACAATTTCTAACTGAGAAATTGCTTTAGATAGAGTCCATCGGGTATGAACATTTTGAGTTAGACGATCCGCAACGAGCATTAGAGTCTCCGCAAAGGGGTTGCTATCATCGACTTTTGACGCGATTTCACTCAGAACCTTTCCATAGGCCCAAGTGTCGTTCATTCGACGTGTTTGGAATGGCAGATCAAAGGGTGAAATTTCATCCCGTATCTCCGGAGCAAGCCATTCATGCGTTACTCCGCCGATGCCACTAATGTCAATGAGGACCGTATTTCCATCGTTGTCTAAAACAACGTTTGAAGGCTTCAAGTCCATATGAGTTTTCTCCGCGGAGTGTAGAGTGCGTAAAGCATTCCCAATTTGAATAGCCCATCGCTCCCAGTTGTATTCCTTGACACGCTGTTCATCCATGACGTTTTGCAAGGAGCCACCGCCATAGTAATCCAAAAGGATACCATTGATAACCATCTGTTGGTTACCTCTTGCGAAGGTTGCGTATGGGTTGCTGAACACTGCAATACCAGCTGGCTGGACTATTCCTGCCACACCTTTAAAGTGTTCGAGATTTTGCAGTTCTTGTCGTATAACTTCTGAATCGCGTGGTTGGTAAAAAGGACGGTTGACCACCTTGAGAATATATCGAATGTTGTCGTCCCTGTGTAAAACACGAAATACTCCGGCGGTGATCTCATTCTCAAGTATCAAGTCTGCGACTTCGATGGTTCGAAAAGATGGAAATTGTAAGGATATCGGATAAACCGTTCTCAAAGGATCCTCCTGAATGTAAAATCGCAGGTTTGGAATGAGCTTCGCAAACCGATTGGTATCTTTCGGTTCGCGATGCAGCTTAACAGCTTCGATACTTTTCGCGTCTTCATGCAAAACCAGTTCAGTCACAGTGTCATCCAGAAGATCCAGCGATTGAAAATCGATCATCGTTACAAGGTTTTGGAACTCATTTCGTCGTTCGGGTTTTGATTTGATTTGCTCCGGTTGGATACTGTGAGCCACGGAGGGAACTGCGCCCTTAAAAGTTACTTTGATCCACCATTTTTTGTCATGTAGATGGTAGATCAGAGTCTGGGAGCGACTGTTCGGCTCAGGCTTCCCTTCGGCTCTGAAGTCCCTATCCTCAGAGTACGACTTGAACTCTAAGTCGGTCCTAACGAGAGAAGCAGAGGTTGCCGTGGCTGGCATTTTATCTTGTCGCGGATAGTTGATAAGAGTTTTCAACATCAAGGATATGCGGGAGAGGCGAAGCTTGTTCAGGCTTCAAGGTAAACGTAGTGTAGGCCAAACTTTTCATCCCAACCACGTGACTGGAACTTGCGAACACAGTCGAACCTTGTGCTAGTGACCCTACCAACCATGACGATGTGCAGATGCCAAGAAACCAATTTGTTTCAGAGAAGGTCTCGCACCAACCATATTCTGCTCTTGTTCAGCTGAAGGGGGTCAGTGCGGAGGGTCGCGCGACTCGGGTGATTCTCACCCGTTCTCACCCGGCCTCGCGATCCAAAGATGTATCCGGAGGACATTCAAAGGAAACTCGAAGAGAGGATTTCCTGTTGTCGGAAAACGGAATCAGGTGACTTTGAATCAACCAATGGTATGCAGCAAAAATAACAGTGTCTGAATTACAAGAAACTATCCCTATAAAGTAATTTAAGGGGGCTAATGAATAACTAATTAAACACGTATCATCTTTCTCTCCACCTTTCCCTCCCCTCCGTCTCTCCCTCTATGATCTCGGCGCTTATTAGGGAGTTGACACCACAGACCCACTCATTCGGAGTTAGAGTTGGTGGGCCCGGATAGGCTCGTAAAACTTGGCGAGCATGCGAGCGCCCGCCCCACACATAACGAGAAGGAGTAGCTACAGTAAGCACGCATAATTTAAAAACACCACCTTGTGACGTGGCACATTGCCCGGGGCGCTGATTGGATATTTACTTAGGTGTCCTCAAAAATCATGGGACTGAAAGCTTGCAATCTTCGAGCAACAAACAACTCAGAAACAAGTGGGACCGCAAAAAATCCCCAAAGGCATGAACAAAATGTTTCAGCAAACCCACATCGCCGATCCATCTGTGACAGAGCGGAGGTGGTTCGTACTACAGCCCCCCTTCCCAGGTGACACTTTTAGAAGCCTTCTTCCCTGGTCTTGGTATGACCTCTGCCTCCGCGCAGCAGCTGCTTGCTGGCAACATGAACAGCTACACTCGCCTATTTTGTACCTTGGGAATATTACTCCTCTTCGCCCGTTATGTAGTCCGCTATATTTGGGAGCTAGTGAGAAGCTACTTTAGTTCGTAAAGTTTCCGTTGTAATAGGACGAGTCTAATAGTCAGTAGCTTCGATATTTTATATCTTATACTATAATAAAGTATACTATCTACTAGCCCTAACCTATAATATCTCTAAAGTAGGCGTTTAGCCTTATACCTTACTATTATACTAGAGCTCTTAATAGGTTATTTAGCGTTAGATAATCTTCCTCTCTATATCAGAGTTTTTAGTTAACAGCCGGACCTAATAGATATAATTATTTATCTACCTAATCTAGTAGATCTATCTAAAGGCTTAATCCTTAGTAGATTTAAGGATGCTTAGTTTAAGAAGTATAGTATAGAAGGCGTAAACGTAAATAAAGCCTAGTCTAAGTATATAGGTTATATTAACTAGAATACTAGAGCTAGTCTTTTATTTAAACTAACTATAAATAGCCTCTATAGAACGCTCTATCTTAATATTTATTTTATTAAATATATCGATATATTACTAATTTCTCTAAGGCTGACCGGATAAGAGAAGGGTAAAATACTTATCCGGAAACTCTACGGCGAGGCCCTAGAACTTATTAGTTAGTCTATTATTACTCTTACCTCTATTAATAAGATATAAACTTATTAAATATATAATAATAATTGTGATAGGAATCTCTAATATAACTAATATCTTAACGTATTAGTTATTATAGTCTAGTTCTAGTCTTCTAACTAAAAAGTAGAGCTACTTAAATTTAGTAGATCTCTTAAAGATTATCTATAGATACTATTAGAAGAAGAGCTATAGAACTCTCTATTACCGCGGGTTTAGGGCTATTAGTTAATATTAATTAAGATTAATAGAAGATACTCCTATTATAATATCTAGACTAATATAGGGAATATTATAAAAAAGTAAAATTAATAGAGGATATTAATAGTTTTACTAATAATATAAATCTATATTTATATATACTCTCTCTTAAGCTTCGCCTAAATACTATAAAAAATATAATATATAATCTAGTCTAGAGCGTAGATTATATCTTTTTTTTAGCTATAAGAAAAATTAAAAACTTTCTACTAAACTATTAGGAATTAATACTATATTAGATAAAACTAAGGGCCTAAAGCTATTACTAGAATTCTACTATAATTATAGTAGAGCGTAGCCGATCGCGTATAGAATTAAACTATTAGCCTAGTTCCTTAAAGTTTTCCCGCGAGTAATTTATAAGCTTTAGTATCCTCTTTTATATCTAGCCCTAAAAATAGTTGATATATTAAATAATATTAATAAATAAGATTTTAAAGAAGATATTAAATAAGAACTAAAGCTAAGTCCCTCCCTAAAGGCCTTTTAAGATCTTATAGGTCTTAGCCTTATTTTTTTTAGTAATATTTATTCTAGAGAATATAATCTTAGAGAGTACTATATACTAATCTTATTACCTTCTCTTTAGATATATTCTTCACTATAGCCTTATACTCTAAGGCGTTAGCAATATATCTATTATAGGACTAAGAGATAATAAGGACTATTAGGTAATCCTTATCTTTATTCTTTTTCTATAGCTAAGTATATTTATTAGGGATATATTAATCCTTTATATCTTTCTACTCTTAAATAATCTACTAGTCTATTTAGCTAAGTTAATAGTTTTTTTTTAGTAATACCTATTATATAAATACTTTAGCTAGCTCTCTAAAATACGTAAAATAGAGACTAAGATAGTCTAGCTAGTTCTATATATAAGCCTTTTATTATTAGATATTTAGCTATTATAATAATCTATTATCCTAATAGCTAACTAGAAGGGTTATCTATAGATAAAGATATTTAGTATCTACCGCTTTATTCTATTTATACCCCTAGTTCCGGAGAAGTTATATAGGTATAAAGACTAGTTTTAGTTAGGGGAGTAGCTTTATTATAATTAAAGGGCCTATACCTATATATAGATAGTAGATAGAGAAGAGATAGATATTTAGATAGTTAACTAGATTATTAAAAAGATTCCCTTCTGATAGATAACGAGGGTAGCTACTAGTATAATCCTTATAGTACTAAATTACCTTATTATACGCGAGAGTAAGCTAGCGAGAAAGGGTATAGATAGCGAATATAGTAATAGTCTATACTATAATTAGTAGGTTATAGAAGAACGCTTTATATTATAATCTATCTTCTCTAAATCTATTTTATCTACTAGGAACCTACTATAACGCCGCCTTTCTAAACGGAGTATATAGAATATAGCGAATATCTAGTATAGCTTTAGAGGGATATAGAGTCTATTAATATTAATCTAGTAACTAGGTATCTATCCCTCCGTTCCCTAGAGCTTAAAGAAATATTAATATATCTACTATAGTTAGACATGGACAGACCCGTCCCATGGGTCAAAGATCTTGACCCATGACCTAGACCCACAACCTATAGATCGGGTCAATAAAATCCTAACCCGCCTATAGGTTGACCCGTAGGTTAACGGGTTAACCTATTTTTGACCTATTTTAGTATAAATTTCTTAATTAGAATAGATAATTTATTTACTTTTTTTAATAATATACTATTATTAAATATTGTTTTTATTCTAATATAACTTATAATTATAACTCTTTATAAAAAGAATATTATATAGTAATAATATATTTAGAATATAATATATTAATTTATTAATTTAATACTTTAAGATAAGAATTATATTTTATAATAGATAGATATAGGCGAAAGAAGATATTAGTTAACTATTTCTTATACTAAACCTAAAAATATATATTTAAAGTCTATAGTAGTACTACTACTTTTTATATAAATAAACTATATATATTAGAAATAATAAAATAGATATAAATCTAATATCTAATATTTCTTTATTAATATATAAGTATATTATAGTCTTAATTATATAAAAGAATTATTTTAAATATTTTTTCTGGATTTATATAAAATAATAATATTAGCTAATTAGGTTAGAAATTTTTAGGGATAAAAAGAAAAATCTTAGGGTATTACTCTTACCTAATTATTTAGATTAACGGGTTAGTCTATAGATTAACCTATTAATCTATTTCTTACTATCTAATAAGCTTCGTATATATTAGTAGAGCCTATTCTAATTAGTTATAAAATTTAGCACTAGAATAATACTAAATCTTATCTACTAATAAGAAATAAGTATTAGATCTATATATTCCCCTAAATCTACGATAATTTATCTTAGATTATTTTTCTATATCTCGAGTCTCTCGCTATAAAAGGGTTATATAGTCCCCTTTTTTACTAGATATAATAAAATATATACCTTTTTATAGTAGTCTTTCTACCTCTATTAAAACTAGGGTTTTAATCTATCTACGCGATTACTTAAAACCCTGGTTTTAATCTATCTACGCGTTTATTTATAGCCCCGGTTCTAATATATCTACGTAAAAAGGTTGGCTAGTTAGATTGAAATTTTTAGGGGATAAAAATAAAAGTCTTAGAGTATTACTCTTATCTAATTATTTAGATTAATAGGTTAATCTATAGATTAATCTATTAATCTATTTCTTATTATCTAATAAGCTTCGTATATATTAATAGAGTATCTTCTGATTAGTTATAAAATTTAGTACTAGGATAGTACCGAATCCTACCTACTAATAAAAAATAAGTATTAGATCTATATATTCCCCTAAATCTACGATGATTTACCTTAGATTATTTTTCTATATCTCGAGTCCTTTATTTTAATATACTATTACTATATCTCTTTTATATCTTAGTTATCTACCTCGTACCCTTCCTCTCTTATTAAGAGTAAAGGGTTTAAATCATCTATTTTCTATTCTAATCAACTTCTTGATATCCTCTTAGAACTACTAGAAAGCCAGTAAACCAAGTAAAGTCTCTCTCTTATTATATTACTAATACTAAAACAATCT